TTGAGCCCTATATCTATTGCATTTGCAGACACCGGTTTTTACTAATTACTTGAATGAATATCTGCACAAGTTGACAATGTCCACCTAGGTCTCTAGTGAAGGCCACAGGGCTTCAAGTTGTATAAGTTTGGATGAAGCTTTGAATCCAAAGACTGATAAGCAAAAACTCTGCCCAAGTTAACACAATGAAATTCACTGTAAGTCTTGGCCCGCCCTGTAAGGGATGGAGGAGAGCAAAGAGGAGGAGTGTGGAGGTGGGGGTGGATGGTCAATTTTGAGCCTGCACCTTCACGTGCTGAAGGGCATCTAAACAGGTGTGAGAGGCCCGCTGCTTGCCCAAGGATCGTCTTCATCTCCACCCCATGGCTTTTCCCATGTGGTCAGTGTGATTTGAGAAATGGCAGTTGGGTGGCCCATAGTCACAGTTTTGAAGACAAAAATCATTCTTTTAAAAAATATATATATTTTATTGATTTTTTACAGAGAGGAAGGGAGAGGGGAAGAGAGTTAGAACCATCGATGAGAGAGAAACAGCGATCAGCTGCCTCCTGCACACCTCCAACTGGGGATGTGCCCACAACCCAGGTACATGCCCTTGACTGGAATCGAACCTGGGACCTTTCAGTCCGCAGGCCAACGCTCTGTCCACTGAGCCAAACCGGATAGGGCCAAAGAGCATTCTTTAAAATCTGCTGTTCTGATGAAAACAGGAATCAAAATTGACAGGGAAAGCAAATTTGGAGGCCTGACACCATTTCAAATTCTGTATGAGCACAGGCGCTGGAGCCAACCGTGAGCTGTGTGACCCTGGGTATGTTACTAAACTCACTTAGCTTCAGTTTTCCCCTCTGCAGAATAGAGATCATAACAATTATATCCACTTCCAGAATTGTGAGACTAAACAGGTGCTTATAACTGAAGCGCTTAGAACAGTGCCTGGCCATAAGTTGTGTGTTTGTATGTTAGCTAGCATTACTATTATTGTTATTATCAAAACTGAGGAGAATGCTGACTTGTTACAATAAGGAGGCTGTAGTTAACCTGGTTCCTATGCCCTCAAACACTCTTCCCTCCCCAAGTGATAAATGTGTGGGATGTGGCTTTGCAGCATAAACCAAAAGATAGATTTAGGCACTTCCATGCTTATACTAAACAGTATGGACCAAGTGGATGTTGCGGTTTGAAGAAGCAGTGGCCTGTGCTTCTCCTCCCTCTAGTTTGCATGGTTTCACTAGGCTTCTTGCTGCAAAACTGTCCTTAGCATCCTCAGGCTATTTCCCAAAACCAGTCCTGGATGACTGCTTTCATTTACAAATTGAGATTAATTTTCCTCAGTTAAGGGCAACAGTACTTGTGTCTTACTCCAACCCCATTGCATGTGAGTATAAAATTGAAGCATTTAGGTGCGCCACTTCCTAATTTCCAAGACCTGGCCCTCCTTTCCTTTCTAGCCTTACCTGGTTTCCTCCCTCTGTGCTGAGCTGTGTGCTAAAGGCAGGTCAGAGGTTGGTATCCAGCCATTCTTTCTCTTGACCTTCCCTGAAATGCTAGTCACTTGATTTTTTTAAAAATATATATTTTATTAATTTTTTACAGAGAGGAAGGGAGAGGGATAGAGAGTTAGAAACATCGATGAGAGAGAAACATCGATCAGCTGCCTCCTGCACACTCCCCACTGGGGATGTACCTGCAGCAAAGGTACTTGCCTTTGACCGGAATCGAACCTGGGACCCCTGAGTCCGCAGGCCAACGCTCTACCCACTGAGCCAAACAGGTTAGGGCTAGTCACTTGATTTTTAAGTGTTAATGCTTTTGTCTGCCTGAAGCCTGTTGCAAAGGCTCCCCTCATTCTAGGGCAGTGGTTCTCAATCTTCCTAATGCCACGACCCTTGAATACAGTTCCTCATGTTGTGGTGACCCCCAATCTCATTGTTACAAATTGAACATAATTAAAGCATAGTGATTAGTCACAAAAACAATATGTAATTATATATGTGTTTTCTGATGGTCTTAGGCGACCCCTGTGAAAGGATCGTTGTACCCCCAAAGGGGTCGCGACCCACAGGTTGAGAACCGCTGTTCTAGGGGTTAGCTCATTCTGCTTTAGGTAGATGTACTAGTTCTTTGAAGCGGGGACTGAGTTTGCACACCTTGGCTTTTTCCTCGGGGCTGGGCCCGAATCACAATAGAGGGCCACTTAGTGTTGAGTTGTCTCCAGTGGAATTAAGAGGACAAAGGCGCTCCACCTCCCCTCTTGCCCCCTCCACCCGAGTTTGCTAATCTTGGGAATGGGGTGCCCCTGCCCAGACCCGGCCTGGGTAGACTGGCTGAAGAAGCTGTGTGTGCTTTGATTTTCCCCAGTTCAGTCCTTTATTTCTAAACTTCTCCAGGCATCTTCTCTCCTTTCATTTTTAATAAACGCTCATCCTCTTAAACTGCCCTTGCTACTTCTTCACGTCTGGTCTAACCTGCTTTGCTTGCTCACAAAGGAACTCGGTCCCTCATCACTCTTTTCCACCTTACTATTACTATTCCCATCTATCTTTCAGAATACATATATTTTTCTTTCTCAGCCCCCTTTCCTTGGTCAGCCTCAGAAATGGAGAATAGCGCAGCCTGCAGAAAATGTTTTAACAAGGGGGGGGGGCGGATTAAGAATCTGTATGGAATGATAACTCATGATGGTTATTTTTAAACCAGATGAAAGCCTTTTGCCCTTGTTTTCATTCTATTCTGAAGGATTTCAGAGTAAATCCTTATCCTGTCATATAGGAGTAACTGAGTTAGATGGCCGCTATCTAATCTAAACGTTTATTCAAACATTTATAACTGTTTTGATTTAAGAAAACATAAACTGACACAAAGTTTTGTTTTAGCCAAGGTTTGGGAGAAGTTTTAAACTGTAATATGTATACTTTGATAAACTTAATAGACTAGAGCTATGGGTTACAATATAGTTTGGTATTCGAACATTAATCTCTTTTAATCCTAGTTATAACTGCAACACAGGCTGGATTTACTAACCAGCTTGTTCAACTAGCTAAAACTGTAGATACCATCCACAACGCTGTTATTTAAACACAACAGAAATCATAAATAGAAATTCAAAAGGATCGCTTGATTTTGCAAGACAAGATTTGATGCTGTGAAGAAACCCTCTCAGAAATTCGCCAGAGACCATGTGGGTCTTAAAATATCCTCCATATCCTACCAGCCAGATTTGGCAGCTTGAGAACTAGTCATTGAAAATAATGACAAATATTTACCAATTCACAAAATGTTGCTATTTGTTTTGGCTTCAATTTTATGTTTTTTTTTTTAACTAGGAAATTTAGTATACTAATATTATGGCCACTCAGCAAATCTCAGGGGAAGAATTACTACTCCCTTATTGAGCATTTTAGCACATAGGTTTTGAATACTGGCTGTATGCAAGTACTATATACAGTGAATGTTTCTGGTGATAAAAAGTGAATTAAATTTGATGTTTGACCACAAGACATGGAAGAACTGACATTATACTGTGAGTGCCATAGAAAACTTGCTGAAATGCTCTGAGGAATGAGAGCTCCCGTGGGATTTGCTGAGTCATTTCAGAGAAGGCTTTATAAAGAAAGTGGAAAGAAGAGCTTTGATGACTAGCTAGATGCCAATATGTGGAGTTGGGGGGAGTAGGAAGAAATTCTAGATGAATGAGAAACATTAACAAAGTCTCAGAAACAGTATAATATGGAGTATAGTTGGGTTTTAGTTTTATGTAAATGAAAGGGTACAGTTGGAGATAAAGCTAAATTCCATGGGTGTGAAATCCCAGATTAAACCTGGGTAGGTGGTGGAGAATATTTTATCAATTATTCCACTCTTTAAACAACTTCAGAGCTGTGTTTCGGGGTAATTAATCTGCCCTCAGTGTATAAGCTTGATTGTGGAGAAAGAGAAGTTGGGGTTTGGAAGAACAGCTGAGAGGTTATTACGGTGGTCTAGTACCAAGAGTTAGTAAGAGCTGTTCTGGGCTGGGAAGAGTAGGTTGGAATGGAGGGGTAGAATTGAGAGAGAGCATGTAGTGAGAATTTCTGGGATTTATGACCTGATTGGAAGATGTGAGGAAGAAGAAAGGGATAAGTTAAAAATGACTGTAAGGAGTCAAGCCTGAGAACTGACACCATTAAGAAAGTTAAGTAGTGCTGGTAGGAGGTGAGTTCAGCTTTGCTAGTGGTGCATGAATGTGTATGTGTTCCCCACTGGGGAGTTGGAAATGCGGAACTGAAACCCAGGCTATGGTTTGAAATAGAGGCTTGGGAATCATTAGCACAGAGGAAATGGTAGAAGGTGTAGGAGCAGATATGAATGCCAAGGGAGAGTATAAAGAGAAGATGGCCAAGGACAGGGCCCTTAGGGAATGGCGGTCTACTTTTAAATGAGGGAAGATGATCCAAAATTGGAATAGTGAGGTCAGGGAAGAGCCAGAAGACTTGGGATCATAAAAACCTGGACAAGAGTTTCAAGAAAGGTGGGGTCAGTAATATCCATGGAAATAGAGAAGTAAGGAAGATGAGAATTGAGAAATTGAATGTTGGAGTTTAAGAGTTCTTTGGTGACTTTCACAAGAGTGGGGCTTATTCTTCTTTTAAGTCTAGGGTTTGTTTTATTAAGTATCTTGGATTCTTCCATTTCTGTAAAATAACACAGATAATGAGGATAGTGTGTGTGCGTGCGTGTGACAGAGAGACTTAGGATATCACCAGGGAACTATTTTATATGATAAGTAGTAAAATTATTGAAGTAATGTATACGTTGAGCTTACATTTCATTAATAATAAAAACACTAATTCAGCCAAAAAAAGGAAGTCTCCAGGATTTTACTGTAGTCAGTAATAAAACTTCTACCCAAATTATGCCAATTAAAAAGCTATTCTTCTGCCCCATTTCATTGTATGAAACAACAAAAATATACAAACAATGGTTGAATTGATGAGCATACCCCTAAACATGGTGAGATTATTATCTTTTTCCCTTCCTTTCAGAATAAAAGACGGAGCTATGATAGCGACTGGGGGAGTGATAACCGGCCTGGCCGCCTTGAAAAGGCAAGACTCTGCCCGATCACAGCATCATGTCAGCCTCAGCCCCTCACCTGCTGCCCAAGAGAAGAAACCCGTCAGGCGTCGGCCAAGGGCTGATGTCGTGGTTGTTCGAGGCAAAATCCGGCTTTATTCCCCCTCTGGTTTCTTCCTCATTTTAGGAGTGCTTATCTCCATTGTTGGAATTGCAATGGCAGTCCTTGGATATTGGCCCCAAAAAGAACATTTTATTGACGCTGAGACCACACTGTCCACAAACGCAACTCAGGTCATTCGGAACCAAAGTGGCGTGGTGGTCCGCTTCTTTGAGCAGCATTTACATTCTGATAAGATGAAAATGCTTGGCCCCTTCACCATGGGGATTGGCATTTTCATTTTCATTTGTGCTAATGCCATTCTTCATGAAAACCGTGACAAAGAAACCAAAATCATACACATGCGGGACATCTATTCCACAGTCATCGACATCCACACGCTAAGAATCAAGGAGCAAAAGCATATGAATGGCGTCTACACGGGTCTGCTAGGAGAAACTGAAGTCAAACAGAATGGGAGCTCCTGTGCCTCGAGACTGGCAGCGAATACCATTTCCCCTTTCTCGGGTTTTAGGAGCAGTTTTCGGATGGACAGCTCTGTCGAAGAGGATGAGCTTGCGCTAAATGAAAATAAGAGTTTGGGGCACCTTATGCCACCTTTGCTCTCCGACAGCTCTGTCTCTGTCTTTGGCCTGTATCCATCTCCTTCCAAGACAACCGATGATAAGACAGGTGGCTCTATGAAATGTGAAACCAAGTCAATTGTGTCGTCATCCATCAGTGCTTTCACATTGCCTGTGATCAAACTTAATAACTGTGTTATTGATGAGCCCGGTATCGATAACATCACCGAGGATGCTGAGAACCTCAAAAGTCGGTCGAGGAATCTGTCTATGGATTCCCTTGTGGTCCCTTTGCCCAACACCAATGAGTCCTTCCAGCCGGTCAGCATGCTGCTCCCTCGGAATAATTCCATTGGGGAGTCATTGTCTAGTCAGTACAAGTCCTCTGTGGCCCTTGGACCTGGGGCTGGCCAGCTCTTGTCTCCTGGGGCTGCTAGGAGACAGTTTGGGTCCAACACATCCTTGCATGTGCTCTCATCACATTCAAAATCCTTAGACTTAGACCGAGGTTGCTCCACCCTAACTGTTCAGGCAGAACAACGGAAACATCCAAGTTGGCCTCGGTTGGATCGAAGCAACAGCAAAGGATATATGAAACTGGAGAACAAAGAGGACCCGATGGAGAGGTTGCTTGTGCCCTCAACTGCAATCAAAAAAGACTTTACCAATAAGGAGAAGCTGCTTATGATCTCAAGATCTCACAATAACTTGAGTTTTGAACATGATGAGTTTTTGAGTAACAACCTAAAGCGGGGAACTTCTGAAACAAGGTTTTAATGTTAAAAAAAA